TCCTCCCCTGCCAACTGGAGCGAGGGGCAGGGATGAGCCTGTCCCTCCGGCCCGTCCCCGGCTGCCCAGTAGCGTTTCGCGTGGAAAAGGCACTTTCTCCGCCCGCCGAGATGGGCCCGAATGGGGGCTGCAGAGGACGCGTCCGCGGGCGGCGGCAGCAGCAGCAACAGCCGCAGCGCCGCGGTCTCCAAGATTGAGCTGGTATTTGGGCGGCTGGTGGCGGCGGGGACGGTTGGGGGGTGGGAGGAGGCGGAGGAGGAGGCGGAGGAGGAGGGAGAACCCCGTGCAACGTTGGGACTTGGCAACCCGCCTCCCCCTGCCCAAGGATATTTAATTTGCCTCGGGAATCGCTACTTCCAGAGGGGAACTCAGGAGGGAAGGCGCGCGCGCCTGGAGGGGCAACGCAGGGACCCTCGGCCGCAGCCGCAGCCGCCGCCACCTCCCTGCGCCGGACTCCAGCCCGGGCGGCGAGAGATGCATCTTTGCTCCTTCTCGGCCCGGGCGGCTGAGGGGAGACTGCTCTCGGAGGACCGGGACCGCACTCAACCCGGACGCACCGCCTCCCTCCGGGGCGTAAAACGCCCGTAAACTCCGGCCGGGTTCTCTCTTGGGCGCAGCTGCTGCGTCCTCTTGGGCTGCCCCTCCCCGGCGCGGGGAGCGGCGTGGATTTCAGAGTCGGATTTCTGCTGCCTCCAGCCCTGTTTGCATGTGCGGGGCCGCGGCGAGGAGCCTCCGCCCCCCACCCGGTTATTTCTCGGCACCTCCCTCCGCGCGGCGGCGGTGGCGGCGGCAGCATGGCGAGCCCTCCGGAGAGCGACGGCTTCTCGGACGTGCGCAAGGTGGGCTACCTCCGCAAACCCAAGAGCATGCACAAGCGCTTTTTCGTGCTGCGGGCGGCCAGCGAGGCTGGGGGCCCGGCGCGCCTCGAGTACTACGAGAACGAGAAGAAGTGGCGGCACAAGTCGAGCGCCCCCAAACGCTCGATTCCCCTCGAGAGCTGCTTCAACATCAACAAGCGGGCTGACTCCAAGAACAAGCACCTGGTGGCTCTCTACACTCGGGACGAGCACTTTGCCATCGCTGCGGACAGCGAGGCGGAGCAAGACAGCTGGTACCAGGCTCTCCTGCAGCTGCACAACCGCGCCAAGGGCCACCACGACGGGGCCACGGCACCCGGGGTGGGAGGCGGCGGGGGCAGCTGCAGCGGCAGCTCCGGCCTCGGCGAGGCTGGGGAGGACTTGAGCTACGGGGATGTGCCTCCAGGACCGGCGTTCAAAGAGGTCTGGCAGGTGATCCTGAAGCCCAAGGGCCTGGGTCAGACAAAGAACCTGATCGGCATCTACCGCCTCTGCCTGACCAGCAAGACCATCAGCTTCGTGAAGCTGAACTCGGAGGCAGCGGCTGTGGTGCTGCAGCTGATGAACATCAGGCGCTGCGGCCACTCGGAGAACTTCTTCTTCATTGAGGTGGGCCGTTCTGCTGTGACGGGGCCTGGCGAGTTCTGGATGCAGGTGGATGACTCGGTGGTGGCCCAGAACATGCACGAGACCATCCTGGAGGCCATGCGGGCCATGAGCGACGAGTTCCGTCCTCGCAGCAAGAGCCAGTCGTCGTCCAACTGCTCCAACCCTATCAGCGTCCCCCTGCGCAGGCACCATCTCAACAACCCCCCCCCCACCCAGGGGGGGCTCACCCGCCGATCACGCACCGAGAGCATCACCGCCACCTCCCCAGCCAGCATGGTGGGTGGGAAGCCAGGCTCCTTCCGCGTCCGCGCCTCCAGCGACGGGGAAGGCACCATGTCCCGCCCGGCCTCAGTGGACGGCAGCCCTGTGAGTCCCAGCACCAATAGGACCCACGCCCACCGGCATCGCGGCAGTGCCCGGCTACACCCGCCACTCAACCATAGCCGCTCCATCCCCATGCCATCTTCTCGCTGCTCGCCTTCGGCCACCAGCCCGGTCAGTCTGTCGTCCAGCAGTACCAGTGGCCACGGCTCCACCTCGGACTGCCTCTTCCCACGGCGGTCTAGTGCTTCTGTGTCCGGTTCCCCCAGCGATGGCGGGTTCATCTCCTCGGATGAGTATGGCTCCAGTCCCTGCGATTTCCGAAGTTCCTTCCGCAGTGTCACTCCGGACTCCCTGGGCCACACCCCGCCGGCCCGCGGTGAAGAGGAGCTGAGCAACTATATCTGCATGGGTGGCAAGGGAGCCTCTACCCTGACCGCCCCCAACGGTCACTACATTTTGTCTCGCGGTGGCAATGGCCACCGCTACATCCTAGGAGCTGGCTTGGGCACAAGTCCAGCCTTGGCTGGGGATGAAGCAACCAATGCTGCAGATCTGGATAATCGGTTCCGAAAGAGGACTCACTCGGCAGGCACATCCCCTACCATTTCCCACCAGAAGACCCCATCCCAGTCCTCAGTGGCTTCCATTGAGGAGTATACAGAGATGATGCCTGCCTACCCACCAGGAGGTGGCAGTGGAGGCCGACTGCCGGGCCACCGGCACTCTGCCTTCGTGCCCACCCACTCCTACCCCGAGGAGGGTCTGGAAATGCACCCCTTGGAGCGTCGGGGGGGCCACCATCGTCCGGACAGCTCCACCCTCCACACTGATGATGGCTACATGCCCATGTCCCCAGGGGTGGCCCCAGTGCCGGGCAGCCGAAAGGGCAGTGGGGACTATATGCCCATGAGCCCCAAGAGCGTGTCTGCCCCACAGCAGATCATCAACCCCATCAGACGCCATCCCCAGAGAGTGGACCCCAATGGCTACATGATGATGTCCCCCAGTGGCAGTTGCTCCCCTGACACTGGAGGTGGACCCAGCAGCAGCAGCAGCAGTGCTGCTCCTTCGGGGAGCGGCTATGGGAAGCTGTGGACAAATGGGGTAGGGGTCCACCACTCTCATGCCCTGCCTCATCCCAAACCCCCAGTGGAGAGCAGTGGTGGCAAGCTCTTGCCTTGCGCAGGTGACTACATGAACATGTCACCAGTGGGGGACTCGAACACCAGCAGCCCCTCTGACTGCTACTATGGGCCTGAGGACCCCCAGCACAAGCCAGTCCTCTCCTACTACTCATTGCCAAGGTCCTTCAAGCACACCCAGCGCCCTGGGGAGCTGGAGGAGGGTGCCCGGCACCAGCACCTCCGCCTTTCCGCTAGCTCTGGTCGCCTTCTCTATGCTACAACAGCAGAAGATTCTTCCTCATCCACCAGCAGTGACAGCCTGGGTGGGGGATACTGTGGTGCTAGGCCGGAGCCTGGCCTCCCACATCCCCACCATCAGATCCTGCAGTCCCATCTGCCTCGAAAGGTGGACACGGCTGCCCAGACCAACAGCCGCCTGGTTCGGCCCACAAGGCTGTCCCTGGGGGATCCCAAGGCCAGCACCTTACCTCGGGCCCGTGAGCAGCAGCAGCCGCCGCCGCCGCCTCAGCCTCCTCTGCCGCACCCTTCAGAGCCCAAGAGCCCAGGGGAATATGTGAATATTGAATTTGGGAGTGATCAGCCTGCCTACTTATCTGGCCCTGTGGCTTCACACAGCTCACCTTCTGTCAGGTGCCCATCCCAGCTCCAGCCAGCTCCCAGAGAAGAAGAGACTGGCACTGAGGAGTACATGAAAATGGATCTCGGGCCAGGCCGGAGGGCTACCTGGCAGGAGAGTGCCGGGGTCGAGATAGGCAGAGTGGGTCCTGCACCTCCTGGGGCTGCTAGCATTTGCAGGCCTACCCGGGCGGTGCCCAGCAGCCGGGGTGACTACATGACCATGCAGATGAGTTGTCCCCGTCAGAGCTACGTGGACACGTCACCAGTCGCCCCTGTCAGTTATGCTGACATGCGGACAGGCATTGCTTCAGAGGAGGTGAGCCTGCCCAGGGCCACTGCAGCTGCATCTGCCTCATCCTCCGCAGCTGCTACTTCCTCCACTGCGCCTCAAGGGACAGCTGAGCTGGCTACCCGCTCATCCCTGCTGGGGGGCCCACAGGGACCCGGGGGCATGAGCGCCTTCACTCGGGTGAACCTCAGTCCCAACTGCAACCAGAGTGCCAAAGTGATCCGTGCAGACCCGCAAGGGTGCCGGAGGAGGCATAGCTCCGAGACCTTCTCCTCCACACCTAGTTCCACTCGGGCAAGCAACACGGTGCCCTTCGGAGCAGGGGCTGCCATAGGGGGCGGTGGCGGTGGCGGCAGCAGCAGTGAGGATGTAAAACGCCACAGCTCTGCTTCCTTTGAGAACGTCTGGCTGAGGCCTGGGGAGCATGGGGGAGCCCTTAAGGAGCCAACCCAAGTATGTGGGGCTGCTGGGGGTTTGGAGAATGGTCTTAACTACATAGACCTGGATTTGGTCAAGGACTTCAAACAGCGCCCTCAGGAGCGTCCCCCTCAGCCGCAGCCTTCCCCGCCTACACCCCCTCATCAGCCCCTGGGCAGTGGTGAGAGCAGCTCCACCCGCCGCTCCAGTGAGGATTTAAGCGCCTATGCCAGCATCAGTTTCCAGAAGCAGCCAGAGGACCGCCAGTAGCTCAACTGGACATCACAGCAGGTGCGTTTTGTGGTGACACAGTCAGAAGACAAAACTGCTTTTAACCTTGTGCTTGAATTCTGTTCTTCGCCTCTGTCCCTTCCCACTCTTTCCCACTGCTTCCTCAAGGACAGTGCACTTACATTCTCAGGGCACACAAGATGCTCACCCACAATGACACCTGGCAGACAGTCAAATAAACATGTAGGAGCAGCCACAGGAGGGCTTTTCATTTGAGAATTTCAAGTGTAGTACTTACTGTAGTATTTTAAAAACTTAGATCCTAGAATGCCAGTTCTGGGGTTTGTGAAATTCCCATATAAGAACCTTGATCTCTTCACTGAATTTTTATTTTGACTATTTAGGTCATTCTCTGGAAGAACAGTTGTACAAAAAATATTTGTTAATATAAGGGCTTAAACCCTTCCTTTAAGATAGTTTATCAGAGCTCCTAAGGGTGATCTTATCGAGTTGCTCTGTGTATTTTTGTTCTGTGATTTCACAATACCAAGGCAACATAAACAGCTGCGGGAAACATTGATTTCTATTCATACTGCCTTAAAAAGATTCGGGAATAAGAGCTTTTTAGGCCTACATGTTGAGAAAGAAGTACCTATCTGTGATCTCTCAAGAAAGTAATTATGAGTGGCCTTTTCTTTTGGTTCCATATCAGGATTTGTGAAATATTATTCACACACTGACCCCTTCCCCCATCTCACAGGCATGGCCTCTTTTATACAGGATATGCAGGAAACTCTATGTGTCTGAGGCTCATTATTAGTTAAGAGTTATAGATCCCAGGATGTCTGCCTTACAGGCGTCTCTTGCACTGAGACATCACACATATCATTTGGGGGCTACTGTGCTTCTTCTGTAAAATTACACATTTTTATGTGGAAAAGAAGGCATATTAAGTCAGGAACATGGAGGTTTTGCTTTGTTTTGCAGTGAATGTAAGGGCTAAACCGTGTAGTCTTTTAACTTTTAAGATATTTATTGTTTGCCTTTAAGTTCAAGAGTAGACACCTCAATAAATATTGAAAGTCAGCTTTTAGGTCTTCTCTAGCTAAGGCTATATTGAAAATGAAAAACACTTGTAATAGGAAATTAGTCTGCTCTTCGTTCTGTTGAGCCTGTTTTCTGGTGGTCATAATTGTGGGTAGAAGAAAGGAGTATAGTTTGCAAATAATGTGATGAGTTGGCAATGCAGAAGTTTCCAGCATTTGGAAACATTTTATTTTGACAAACTGATTATCTTGTGAATTGTGTATATGTTACACAGAATGAGCTTTTAAAGGTGTTATTTTTTTCTTAATATGTGTCTGTTCATAAGAAGTTAATTTGTGCCTTGGGTTCCTATTGATAGGAATTTGTTTAGTATGTGATCACAGTCTCCTTGACTCTGTTTACAATATTTGATCCATATCATTCTCTATTTTGTAGAACAAGATAAAAGTGTCTGAACATTCAAATTAAGATTTTAGGTGATGTTATAAAAAGCATTTATTGAATCAGCATTTATTCCAACATTTGTTTTCATCCTTCATTAGATGAGAGATTTAATTGTGTATGTCAACATCAACAATACACATTTTGTTTATTTCAAATGATGATTTTGGGAGTTGGAATCCCTGTAACACTATTTACATTATAAAGTGCTTCATTGATAAAGTACAGTAATGAGAATTTGAAGGAAACAAACACAGCAGAACTAAAGTTTTGGTTTTAAAGAAGATGAAAGAAGAGACTAAGAAACAATGAGTTTTTCTCACCTGTTTTCTTACTTGCATAGGTTTCTTTTTATAGAGTAGAATAAATGATGCTCATGTTGAAAAAAAAATCGATGACCAAATGGAGTTTTCATTTTTAAAAAGGGCTTTGAAGTAAAATTCTCCATTGGTGGACAATATATTAAAAAAATAAACAAAACCAAATAACTCCCAACCTTCTATTCTTAGCTTATTTGGGGGAAATATAATATTCTGGAATAATCATATAATCATACGCATAATAATTCTGGAGTAGCAGACCATACTTTGACTGCATTATGCCAGGAAAATTCTACAGTGTATATTTGTAAAATGTAAATGTTTGTGTGTCTGTGTTTTAAGTGGGGCACCAAATGCTACCTAGCACATTTACATCCTCAATTCTGCTTGCTTGCCTTGTTGAGTTTAAAGATGTTATTTGATAGTCAATTATCATCTGAAACAAAAAGAAGTCAGACCTGTGAGTGGCCAACAGCTTCTGCTCTGAATGAGTATGTTAGTTTGTGAAAACGTTTTTCTCACTTCGTCAGCAATTGCTGTCTTTGCCTCTTTTCCTGATTTCTCAGGTAAAACTTGAAACATGGTGAAAGGAATGAGATTCGATGAGGGAGGGGTATGCTGTTCCTACTGACCTCTTGTTTTAAACATCTCGGATTGTTTAATATTTGTCATTGTCTATTAGAGGAGAATATTTGTGAAGCATTACTTTCAGGAGTTCAGGACTTGTTGGATGCCTTTCTGCTATACCTATACCGTAGTCCAGCAGCGTTTTCTGTTTCTTCTTTCTCTTGTCAATCTGCGTGCATTCGCTAACTTACTTGTGACCTGCTAGTTTTCCTGTACTACCCCTTCCATTCCCTTTGTTTTTCACCTCTTATTTCGTGTTCCTGGCGTTGCGTTTTGTTTGTTTGTTTGTTTTTCTCCTTTTCAAAATTTCGCAGTATTTGTGCCCCACTCTCTGCAAGAGAGTAAACTGAGAGCCTAAAAAGGGCCTCTCAGACTCGATCATAACAACCTCGCTACCTTTCACCGGCATCAAATTTTAGCTTTGAAACTGCAGCTGGACAGATACAGCAGGCTACCGCAAAGACACACACCTGAGTCATCCCGTTTGGGTTCAGTTTTTGGTTGTCATTCTTTGTTATACCTTCCCCCTTTAAAAAAAAAAATCTTGCATTTCTCTTTCATTCTATTTCCCTTTTGTGATTCAAAGGGTTCTGAGCATCCAGACTACCTTCCCCTCCCTCCATCTCGCCCCCTACTTCCCTTGCTGTGTGGCCTTTTTGGCTGGCGCAAACCCTGGCGGCCCTGGCACTTTCCCTTTTCCGGGTCACCTCCGCTTCCTGCATTCCTCCTCTTTTATTTGGCGCTTGGCTTCCCCCTCCCTCCTTCAAGCCCCCTTTTGGCTGGGGGTGGGGAATCTGCAGCCAGGCGGTCCCGGCTGCCGAACCCCTTCCCGGGGCAGCGTGGTCGGCGGTGGCGGGCGAGCCTCCCGCCCCTCGGGTTCGCAGCGTGTCTACTGGCCCTGGGCTGGCGGGGAGGCTGGGTGCTGATTGGCCTCCTCCATAGCCAATTAGCGCGTGGAACGACCGAGCTGCCGCAGACGCGGGGCGGGGCCTCGGCGCGGGGGCGGGGGCCTGGGATCCTCAGGCGGGGGCGGGGCGGGCGTCCCTGGCCGCCTCCTCTCAACCACTTCCCTCCGCCCCTTCCCCTCTGGAGTCCGCCGAACCGAGCCAAATACCCCCTTCTCAATGCGCCCCCCTGGCAGAGCCATATTCTTGCATCTAGACCAGAATCCTAAGAATGAAAAAGTCCACCCAGCCCACTGGCAGGGGCCGGAAACACACACTTCCTCTTATTTTTAATTGAGAAAAATCCGGGCCGTGACCATGTGACGTGCCCCATTTTGTTTCCCTTGTCTCTACTACGGTTTACTACGAGGCCACGTTCCTACATCTTCCTGTCTCGAAATCCGCCAGCAGAAGGGAGCGGCAGCACGTGGCTGCGGGACTGGTGGGGCTGGCGTGCCACTCTCGCGTCTCTTACTGATGGGGAGGAGGAAGCAAATGCAAGAGCTGTGGCTGGCGTTGTTTTGGGGTCAGTGGGTTGAAAGTGCCTTAGGCTGTGTACGTACACTTTATTTGCAAAGCACCTGAGCTAGATCTAGGAACACTGATCTTCTGAGGCTGTGGGGGAGCTAAGAGTGAAATGAAAAACGTGGACTACAGCTTGCAAAGCCTGAGAATCTCGAGAGTCATGGCAAGGGCTCGGTGGTGTGTTCCTTTCCGAGGTTTGGAGGAAATGCTGCTGTATTCTCCCAGATTTGTTTTTCTGTCATTGACAGTCCAAGTGACAGCCCATGTTAGGCTGAGCAAATTGACTTTGAAAGCTTGCTAGATTTGTGTTGTGCATCCTCCTATAACCAATATTATGTGAGACACATTATTATATGGGATGGAAAATGTCTTCAGATTTGTCCTTTTTAAAATAAAGAAGGAAAATAAAGAGAAATGTTATGGAAGTACGATCTTCTCCCTATTCCTCTCAAGCATTTGTCATTAGCCAGCATCTCTCTTGCAACACTGAATGGTAAGCCCCAAAGGCAGCCCTTTTCTTGTGGGGCCTGTTGAAACATTAAGTTTAGTTGAAAATATACCTAAGAAGGTGTAAATGTAATGCCCTAATACTGCTACTGAGCAGTGGGACAAGACTTTTCTATTCCAGAATACTTTGGACATCTAATAATCTTCTTAATTTCTGTCATTATTTAGGTAACTTTTTATGTTTAAAAATTAATTAAAAATTCTGTGTTATAGACATTTATCTGAATGTCCCTTATGTAAATACTATCTCCAGTACTGCCTTACAGGAAGGGACTTGAATGCCACATTTTTTTGTTTTGTTTTGTTTATCAAAATTTATCTAAATTCTTGGAAAACAGCTTTGTGCTATATTGAATGATACAGTGGAAAAAACAGCTCTTGGAAGCCAGAGATCTTGGGGTCTAACACAGTCTGTGTCCTTCACTAGCTGAGTGACCTTGGGCAAGTCACTTAATTTCTCTGGACCTATTTCCTCATCAGTAACGTGAGGATTTTGCTCTGAATTATTTTAACCTCCTACGCAGCTCTAAACACAGGAATGTTTTGGAGAAAATGACTGATGTTCTTTAATGGGTCAGTTGCAATGAAGATTCTTTCTGAAGAAACTGTTGACAGGGTCATAATAAAGTATTAGAATATCCTGTTTTGT